TTTATAAAGGCATCGGGCTTTTTCTTCGCTTTTCTTGGTCACATTTCATCGTGATGTTACAGTAACACGGAAAATCTATCTACATTTATGATCGAATATGAGCTTTCTGTGGGTTCTTAATTTTATTTTTTAAAAACTGACTGGGATGTCCACGTGCTATTCATTACCTCGCCCCTCCCCCACTCGCTATATTTTCGGGGCAATCCGAATCTTAATAAAAGTTGTTTGTTTTTATTTAATTTCTTTAAATGATTTTATTATAATTTGGTTTAATTTTTCTTTATCAATTAAAGAAGGTACCCTCTACCTTCGACAAAAAGATGGACTCAAAGTAAACCGTTATCAATCGATTTTTCTATCATTGCGTGAGAAGAGTAAGAGTCCACAGGCCTGATCGAGTGCCAGAATCAATCCGGTTTTCAGAATGTGTGTGGTCTCAAAAGGGGATAATTGTAATATCTATAGCGGTTTTGGAACACATCTTGACGATCAAAGTCTGGCTTGTACTAGTCTCACACACTCTTCCCCCATTTTATTTTTAAATCAAACTAGTGCTTTTCATGATTGGAATAAGCCAAAGACCAGAAGAAGAAAAAACCAAAAAGAAAAAGAAAAACTAATGATGTAAGTTTAAGGTTCGTAGTATTGTAAGTCTTTTCACTTTATTATCCCTACAATATAAGTTGGTGCTGTGTTCGATCGCCTGAAAGATCACCAGGTGAGTCCATAGCACAATACTTACGGCCGCTGTTAGCTAAGTGACGAGTTAAAGGATGGTTACTGATGTTTACGATTTTGATTTTTCGATTACTTCACAAAACGTTCGGAAATCGAGAAATACTCAACTGTCTGGGGGTTTCTCGAGGAATAAAAATCATACCCTTATATTCCCCCCCTCCGAGGGGGGTGTTGGGTGTGTATCCTAGATCAAAATACCTAATTACAAGAGTTTTCTTACCCCAAAAATCCCGAAAACGTGCGATCCCATTCTAATAACTTTATTGAAAATGCAACATCATTTTAGTCAATCCAGTAATGAAAATGCCACGCCCTCCAGCAACACACTCTCCGTTAGTATATCACTACGAAGTACCCTCCCCTCTCCCTTTTTCATTTCCGTTCGCTTGTTGATCGTTTCCATTCTCAAGAAAAGGGGTAACAATATCTAGAATTAAAATATGAGAAAGAANCGTCCCTTCATAAAGCAAACGAATTAGGAGCAGTAATGAACCAGCACGTATCAATCTAGCAAGTGAAATGTAAACCTTATTGCATTGTTAACTTTTCTGGTGTTTAAATTGAATGATCATGGGTGTCCTTCGACGTAGTTCGAATTTCCTGTTTTGTACACTTATTTTCGTGGTCTAATGTTAGCCCATAAGCCTTTGCGCTTGGGTACAGTAATGATTCGACTTAGCACGCGCCGTCCTTCCAATAAGCGATCCCTCTCTAATAAGCACCCCCAACGTTGAATATTTTTTTTTTATTAATAAGAGCCTCTATTCTAATAGGCATCACTATTTAGAATGCACCCTCGTTTTGATAAGCGTCCTTATAGCATAAACGCCCCCTATTCCAATAAACGCTCTTATTCTGTTTCAGGCATAGCATTGTAAAGAGGTAGATGTACATTGAGAATAGCCGTTGTCCATCTTCCTTTAATTGGTCAGGTGAAGTCCTATCACAAAAACAGTGGTCTTGGTGTCAGTTTCTCAACTATTATGTCAGTACACAGTTCCTTCAAACGAAAGATACCGTCTTAAAATATTGCGGCGATTGCTTGGCTATAGTCGTTTAAGCAAGGAATGATCCAAGGGTAAAACAAGTTCCTTCAGTTTCCAATCTTTTCTATCCTTTTCAAATAAGACTCGAAGTTTGTTTCACATTCTGCTGTCTCTTAAAAAAGAAACTTACATTTGTAAGCAACCTCAGTTCCAGTAAGCGCCCTCCCTTGAGGTAATCCAAGAGTAAATAGGCGCCCTGGAAATCAAAAATCGAATCATTACGGTACTCTAGCAGTTTTGCGTAGCAGAAATAAAATTTTCAGTTGAAAAGAAAGTATTTTTGGAAGTATGAGCCATTTTCATGTCCATTTTAGGAAACCCAATTTCAGATCTCGAGAAATTATTATCGAGGAAGATCCTACTAACAACCGTGCAAATCCTACTAATTGAACATTAGAAGCATTGTTTGGAAACCCATTTTAGAAGTGTTCGTCGCCCAGAGCGAATAATTCCGCCAAAAAATTACCACCAGTCTCGATTCTTCCATATCACCAAAGCAGAGATGTTGCAGTTCCATTTCCATTCACTCGATTCCCAATTCCTCCCACACATCCTTGACTAGCGATGCTTTTATCTCCAGTTCGATAGGCTTTCTAATTTCGAATTAGTCTCGTTGAAATGATCGTGGCCCCATTCGCCGATCGCATAGTATGCCGGGTAACAAAAATAGTCCCGGTGAGGGTAGCCAGCGGCCTGCAGTCGACAAACAAACCAGTTAGCTCCCCTGGTCCCTGCAGGCCGCTGGCTACCTCCGCGGGGCTTAGTTTTGTTACCCGACATAACATGCGATCAGCGAACGGAGCTGCTATCGTCGCTGAAACGGATCCAGGTTTGTTCGTAGCAGTACAAACATACAGCCCGGAATCTGTCTAGGAGAAGTCTCGGATTCTTAAAGTGCCGTTATGAACAGAATATCGACCTTTTGGCAATGCCACGAGTATGCGTTTCCATGTGATGACAGACGACGGGTAACTGAAGGCTTCACAAGTTATTTCTGCCTCGGTGCCTTCCTCGAACGGGAAAGAAAAAGATCTGGTACTTTGGTCAATTGTGGCGCAATTGTTAAGATAAGAAAGGGAGGAATCGAAGAGAAAAACAAAATAGAACTTTTAAGACCGTTGAAGTGTTTCAGGTAGAGTTAATATTCATGACAAAGTTAGCAGAATTAAGCAAGATGCCGTAATCAGAGACTGACACTATTCTTAAGCTGTCTCATTGGTAGTCCAGATTTTAGTTCCAGGCCTCCTACTGGTACGCTGAACCATTGAAGGTTCAATTGATCAATGGCCTAGAATACTTGAACATAATAAGTAGACTATATCTAAATTTTTCAAATTGTTCAGTAGATACTATACGTCAAGGAAAAAGTTTTTATTCATCTGGTTATTCATTTTTTTTATGCCAATTTAACAAAACACGAACTATTTTATATAGCTTAAGAAATCTCTTGATGAAGTAACCGATGAACTGATTAAACATATCTTGCATATTTTATGTCTGATATCACTTAACAATCATCAATGAATACTTAACATTTCCTTGAGATCGATGAGTCGTAAGTCTGACATAAATTAATTTTACTGAAGTTGATTTTCTCGAAAAGTTCTAATAGTAATTAATTTGCTGCTTGTACAGATCATAGGATGTTTAAAGCGTTGCAGCGGGGGTGATGGTCAAGTTATTTTAACTTTGCTACGAGAGGGGAAAGATGCGCTATTACTAACCATTTTAAGATGTTCATCTAACTTGGATTAAAAAGTGACATTAAATGAATAATTTCATTCTCTATAAAGTTCTTTAGCTCTAAACTAAGTTTGAAAAATGAAGAGCTGATTATTTTTAACGGATCCATAAGTTCAACGAGTAGGACTGGGATGGAGCAGCTCTAGTAAGAGCATTATAACCAAAGTCATATTCAGTCTCGCTGGTTCCTAAGTCAACAAAAGAAGAAGAACCAGTTTCTGTGATTCCAATCCCATGATCTGCACGTGCACATCTACTTCCTCCTCCACCAATCATCATTACTGATCCATCACCACTACTCCAGTCACACCAGAAGCCGATCTTGTCTGCGCTTTGGATGTTTCCATTGCATTCAGCCTGTTGAAAGCCGTCTGTTGACTTGTACTGTCCGCCATATTGAACCGTACAACTTCCCAGACACCGATCACTGGCCCAGACTTTGCCATTTCTAAAGTCGCCATAACTTGTGATTTTCGATCGGAATGTTTGTCCACCCAAACAGTTACCCATGGTCTGTAAGAGAGGGGTGTGGCTGGGGTCGTCACTGCGCGTGATTTTTATTTTGCTACCGCTGACCGACCAAAAGGCTGTTGAGATCATATCTTTGTTCACTGAAGGGTCGTTTGTCTCTCCAGTGGCAATTTGCTGGTCATACCACCACTTACCATCATCACGCATCCAATTCTTGCCATCGCTGTTTGAGAATCGAGCGATAAGAGTCCAGCCTGCAAAGAAAGAACATTTCCTATCTTTTCTGTTTCTAATAACAATGCATGGATAGTTTAATCTTATTTCTAAGTCTTTCTGGATGGCCATATCGAAAAGGATATTAATTTATTCTTTTTCTAGCTTTTAACAAGTTGTGCAATGGTTTCAACCTTCTTCTGTTTTTCTTGGCGTAATTATTAAAATAAATTAACCATCAGAAATTTTCTGGTGACCACAAAGGAAATATATTTATAAAAAATTAAATTATTAATTTGACAAAACTCGCAGGGAGGAAATAGCTATAGCTTAATTAGTTAACTGACTCTAAGTGGTGTGATTAACAGATTAAGAACAAATAGGGTTACTCATACATGTTTTCCCACTTTTACAAGAACAGTTGTAGGAACCATAAGTGTTCTGGCAATTGGCGTTAACGTCACAAGGCCAGAGGGATGCATTGCACTCGTCAATATCTGAAGGAAAATAGAAATTAACCTTTGGGTAAATTTACAAGAGAATTTGGAAATCAATGATAATAATAGGAAAGCGGTTAACAGCTGAAATTTTAGGCACTATCCGATTGGGGAGGAGAATTACAACGTCAGTTAAGTATGAAGCAGTCATGTAAATGTACACTAAATTTTGTTTCATCAGTTACACAATGTCCCCATTTGCATGGTTCACGCAAACGCAGACGTTGCTGTATGTCTTCTTCCAATGTTTTACATTCTTCTGACTAACAGATCAGCAACAAATAGGGTTTACCTGTACATGTTTTTCCATTCCCAATAAATCCGCTTTTACAGGAACAACTGTAGGAGCCGTTAGTGTTGTGGCAGTCTGCATTAATGTCACAAGGCCGAATGGAAGTACTGCACTCGTCAATATCTG